ATATTTAATCGATCCCTAAAATCAGGTCACCTACCAACTATTTGGAAGCTAGTGGACGTTTTAATGTTTCTGAAAGAAGGAAAGCCAACAAGTAAACCAGAAAGCTACAGACCAATAAGGCTAACCAGCTGAGAAACTTATGTCTATAAAGAACAATGAACAGCTATAATATCTATAAGTCTCATTTAAAAATATATTTTTGTTCTAAAACTTTCTTGTTACATTTTGAAAAGTAAAAGTATTGAAACGTTATTATTTGTTCAAATTTTGTTTGTTTCATGGAATAAAAGTATTGAATTCTTATCGTTTGCTTTTTTATTTTCATTGCATACTGCCTGACAAAGTATTCGTGAATACATTCCTATGTATTTGTATTCGAATACTTAGCATTTTTCTGTATTCGTTTTCACATTCCTATTCATAAGAATATGAAGTATTTGTATTCGATTACTGATCTCCAGTATTCGCCCCATCCCTGCTTACAAAAAATATCTTTCATCCGAAGAAAAACAAAATACTGTGTATTTCTCTCTAAGCATAAAGTTATCCCTTGTTTGAGGCCAGATGTCAAATTCTTTTAATGTGAATGCAAGACATTTTTTACCTTAAAACAAATAATAACAGAAACACTAGGTTAACGTTATTAGAAAAACTAAGTTGTTCAAATTTACAAATGGTCAAACACTTTGTAATATTGAGATTAAACTATTTGTTTAGAAGGAATTGTTTTTCAATATGTAGATTCTTGATGAAATTCTTTAACAACAATGACATCAATATATATGGGGTACATGAAAACAATTATTATGTTTTTCTTCTTTCTTCTGTTTCTTATATTTACCACTTTCGTCTTTCTTGCGACACTTCTCTAAGGTTACAAAATATATATTTATATCTCTTTTTTTTATCTAATTTTATTTTAATGCCTTTTATTTCTGGAGTTAAAGTCAAATAATTAGCTTGGTAATATTCTTGATCTACTAAAAACAATAAACACGAGAAACACACGAATCGTTTATTTATTTATTATTTTACTATAGGAAAAATCTTTATTAGTGAATGTAAGAGTATATCACGGAAGGTTACAGTTTAAGAGAACAATAAGCGCGTATAAAATTTTAGCAGTATAAAATCAGCATTTTTGAATAAGTATATACGTTTGAAACATCGCTTTAAATGAACATTCGTGCCTTTTAAAGTAATTATTTTACGAATGTGTGTAATAAAATTAAATATTATGTGTATTGGTTTTTTTTAACCCTTCACTTCATATATAATATAGAGGTTAGCTCCTTAAAACACCAATTATGTAGTGTACAAAGTATTGAGCATCTAGATATTACAAATATCTAATGTGCATCTACTATTGGCTGGCAATTGATGCTTCACTCTGTATTTAGCTTTTTAAAGGAACATCATATATTTGTAAGAAAGCTTCCTTCAAGGGTAATGATGACATTGTTTACACTAGAATTGTGATGTTTTTTAGCTTATGTGCAATACAGAAGAAACAAGTAGACTTTTCAGTACATTTCAGTAAATTTGGGCGTAATATAACAATCCATTTTTGCTGTAGGTTGGCAAAGAAAGAATAATTATAATATGAACAATTAAGCAGTTCTTGGTGAAATTTAGTTTCGTTCTAAGTACCTGATAGTTTATTTTTTCCGAATTTTTAAACGTGTATGGCCTTAAATATTGTAAAGGAAGATTCTGAGTGTTGTTTTAGGAACAAGTTTGTTTTCTAAGGTGGTTTTCGCCGTGCGTTCTATTAGTGTTTCGTCAAAACCTGATCGATCTATATTATGCTTAATAGTTCTAATATTTATAATGATATTTCATTTATTATTTTAGTACAGATAAATTTTATAATGTCATCCTGTATTAAAATATTGTCTATCGTACATCCTTGTTTTTATGTTACTGGAACTATTGTTGTGTTTATTTTTGTATGAAAACGTTTAATCTATTTGATTCACTATGTTAGTTCTAACGTTAGGAGATTTCATATATTTCAAGTTATTTTGATATTTGTTTAGTTTGTATGATGCGTTAAGTATCTAATTATGTCAATAACAGCTTCCGTTTACATCGCTTGAATCAAATAAATATATATCAAAATATGCGACTGGGCACATTTCACGTTATCCTAATGTCTTACAGTTTGACAAAAATATTTAGTGTTATTTTATTATATTTCACTCAGTTCTTTATGCAATTTTACAATTTATCTGCAACTAAGTACAACTTTGGAACAGTATTAATATCATTCTTTAAAAAAAATTGAAAAATTAAAAAAATGTCTAAAATTCAATAGAGTAGTGTTGTTAAACGAGCCAAGATTATCAAAATAAGTTATTTCTTATTTGCTTTTAAACACCAAGTTACATAATATGCAAAAAACGTACATCATGTATAATAGTTAAACGAAATGCCTAAAAGTAAAGTTAGTGTAGCCTATATAATTTGTAAAGTTTAGTATACTCTGATCCCTGATAGTGATGGCACAAGACGAGACACACATTCGGCATGTAATGCTGTTTGAATACAATAAGGGAAACAACGCCTCTATATCCCAAAGAATATCAAAGAAGTTTATGGAAATGTTTTGAACGTTCGCAAGTGTCAACAATGGTGCAGCATATTTTGTTCAGGTGACTTTAGCCTTAAAAACTGTGATGGCAGGGGGCCGATATGTTGGAATTGATATTGATGCTCTGAAGACGCTTATTGAGTCTAACCAAAGGCAACACACTCGTGAAATGGCTCTAAAATTCCATGTCTCTCATGAAAGAATACATAATCATCTAAGGAATTTGGGGAAACTCCATAAAGCAGATGTTTGGTTGCCTCACGAACTCTCCGATGATCATCATTTCCATCATGGCTACGTCTCTTGTGGCGCGTAATGCGCGTGAACCATTTTTGGACAGAATTGTTATCGGTGATGAAAAAATGGATTCTCTATGCGAATATTAAACGCCGAAAACAATGGCTCAGTCCTAGACAAAAAGTACTTCCGATCCCCAAACCTGATTCCATCCGCAGAAAGTGATGGTTTATGGGATGGTTAATGAAAGTGTTCCAAAACGCGACACTAATTTCTTGATGACCTTATATTTATCTCCAGTGTTGAATCAAGATGTTTCAACATATGCTTTCTTTATATTACACCGGCATTTTCTTCGATGATCTTTGAAAGTAATTCCCTTGTTTCAGCCATAATTGTGCTGAGTGTAAACTAAAAAGGGAAATATCGTGTCGCCGACAACATCTGATAAAGAAGAGAGACACGAAAATGTGTTCACAATAATAACACTTATCTTTTCAGTTTCATATACGAACGCACATGATAAAATCATCATTAGATCACTGAAGCAATATAAATTAAAAGATAAATTCAACTTGATCTATTGGTTAACAGCTATTATTAGAGATTTCATCAGCAAAAGTTATAATTTCTATAAGAAGTTAGGATTTACAACACACTTTTTATAGTTTATGTTTCATCCTTATTTCCCAGCTGACGCTCACACTATCTTTTATCATTACTCTTTCACTTACATATAAATGAAACTATAAATACATTATTACATGATCCTGTACGAATGTATATATTTTTTTCGATCAATACTGCCCCCCCCCCAGTGGCACAGCGGTATGTCTGCGGACTTACAACGCTAGAAACCGGGTTTCTATACCCGTGGCGGGCAGAGCACAGATAGCCCTTGTGTAGCTTTGTGCATAATTGAAAAACAGAAACCGATCAATACTTATAAGGCCATGCTTAAGAGTTGTATAATTTATAACGATATTCTTGCTGCAATCTTAATCACAAATAGGTTTTGTAAGATGGTCTGTATTAAAATATGGCTGGCCTTACAACTGTCGGCATGAGACTATGGAAATCTCCCACTAAAAGTATTGAATATACTTATAAAAGGAAGTGCTGACAGTCTTAGATAAGGTTTCCGTTTTGGTGTTTGGGTTTGAAATGTTCATTGAAAATTTTTAAATCTTTGTGTTTCAAATTGAAAAGGTCATTAGTTTTCGTTGGAAATCGGTGACCTTTAATTTGCGATACTGTGTTTATTTGTTCACTCTAAGATACTAAGTTCCTAAAAGCTGCAATGAAAAAATAGCATAGTCAATTCTGGTGGTTTAAAAAGCACGAGAGATGAACCAGCTGTCTTAGTTACTAAAATTCGTATCAGTTTAAAGAAAAGAAAAGTACATTTCCCCAAGGATATTTTAAGTAATTGTTTATAGTTTTTATAAAGAAGAAATTATGCATGGAATGATGAATGATGTAAACGCTGTTAATATTTTTCATAAAACAACGGCAAGTTCTAAAATTAGACTTTCCTTAGTTGTGATTTTGAATTTAATTTCCAACATGCGCAACAGAAGTGTATAATATCAAACAATCTTTCTTGTAGAAACATCAGTCTTGAAAGTATAAGCATTATATGTGATATATTTGAATCATGTACGAACTTCTAAACATATAAATGAGATATATCTGAAATGTTCTTAGACTTCTGCGTGCCAATATGAAACTTTTATAAGTCTTTTATATCCCAAGCTAGGAGGAAATCTTACCATTTGCTTGCTTCTTTGCATTGATATGAGGTATCTGAAAGGTTTCTTAATATTATCATTATCTTTAAAAGTTCAGTATCATCGTATACCAGGTAAGATACCTTGAAATGTTTGTCTACTTTTAAACGCAGATGTGTAGGATATTTGAAAAGGTTTAATTACCTTCACACACTAAGCCTTAATAAATATAAAGAATTTTCACACCTTCGTACTCCGGTTAGAAACACTTCAAACATTTCATACCATTATCCATTGATACAAAAAAATTTATCATTGTTTTCACATCTTATAAACTGAAATATTGACAATGTACCTTAATACCAGAACATAAGTTTTTATTGTAAATGTGAGGATATTTGACATATGGTTACAGCTGTAAAATAATTCAGTGACAGTCATTTAGAGAAATAAAATGTTTTTATTGAATATCTTAGCCAATATTACTAGTATTATCGAGAAAGATCCATTTAATAGAAATATATCAATAACCAAAAACGAAACGACATAAATGGTTTTCTCTATCCTTCAGAGAATAAAGGCAATCTAAAAAAAAGCAAAAAAAGAAAAACTATTAGTACAACTTCAATATACAGACAACCGTTAAAGCCAATGTTAAAGTGAGATAAAAACATTTAGGTGGCGAACTTTTCGGCCAATATAATTTTTATTTCCTTACAAAGAATTTAACAAATTTAATTGTTTTGTTAGATTTTATCACGCTATAGCTACGCTCTTTTGTTATTAGTGTATTGATAAATTAATTAGAAGAATCAATAAATGGATAAAAATTAAATAGCTGTTTCACTACATCTCTTCTTAATCAAAACTTTCGTAACTTCTACTCATTTAATCACGACAGTTAATCATCACGTAAATAAATATATACTACCTTTGGAATAGCAGCTTTCTACTCATCCAAATAAAAGTCATCTGGCTTTTCACCCTTTTTGTATTTCACTGTTTTGTCTGTAGAATACATAAAATTTATTTATCATCCTTAACGAACGTTTTCTCACAAATCTTCCATTTTCAACAAGTAATATACATTGGATAGAAATCGGCACAAAACATGGTTTTAGAAAGAATTTCTGATCCAGCAATACAAAATGTTCAGGAAATATTGGAACTATCTAAATATCAGATTAATTTGTAAGATAAACTAGAGCGCACTATCAGTATTAT